GTGTGATGAGTAATGAGTACTAACTGCTGTTTGAAAACAATGCTTGAGGCACAGGCTGGGCACTGCTTATGTGCTCCCCAGCAGCACCTAATGTCTCTAGCCAGGCTACTCAAATGGACACCAGTTGGTACAGGGATGGCGCTCCTCAAACCATTTCCTCTGTGCCACACCCCAGGGTTAGAGGTGGGACAGCCATGTCCTGGGGCAATACTGTGTTCCTCAGCTGGGTGCACCTCTTCCCCAGTTCCTCTGCCACTGCACAGAGACAGAGCTCCCTTTTGCAGTGTATGGAGGTGTGGGGACACTTGCACCCAAAGTCATGAGCGTTTCAATAAGTGACATGGTCTCGTACCTAGATTTTACTGTTGGGTAAGGATTGGACTAAGTGCCATCATTTTGGTTGGGGCATATTTGAGAAAAGATGTAGTGTGTGCTTTTTCCAGAACCACTGGGGTGGTTCTGCGTTAATGTGCATTATGCAAAAAGGAGGGTGGCAAGGTTGTATTTTTACTTGATTTTGTAACCAGAATTAAGGTCCAGATCTGGTAAGATAATCTCTGTGATTGGCAAAATAGAAGATCATGCTTCTTAAAGCATCAGCCTGGCAGCCCAAACCCATTTACCTTTCCATTGCCCTTCTGCCTGCCCCTCTGTGCTTGCCCAGCCAGGCTTCCATGGGATGTTTCATCCTGCAGGTTGGAGAGCGGTACCATGCTCGTACTCACCCTCCCACACTGGTGGGCAGCCCTATGCACCAGTGGTGAAATCCTGGGCACCAAGAAAATCAATGCCAGCTCCTCAGAGCCCATTGATTTCCACAGTGGCTGGGATTTCTATGCACATGAATAAGAGCAGGTTGTCTATACCCTTTTTTGCACATTCAAACTTATGGGTAATGGACTTAATTTAAATACAAGTAATGTTTTTGTCTGCCAACAGTGGCATTTGATTTATAACATTATGAATATATATGTTAGGCATTTGCATTTTTATATTCAAACAACCCTTCCTCTCCACAATTCTAATTGACATTCACATGTGCCCTCTATTTCTCACTTAATCTTATTAATGGTTTTTATCCCTTTAACCCTGCCTCCACCACCTTGGCAAAGGAAAGTGTAAGGGTTTTTAATTATCCTGTGTTTCTTGCTCTAATTCTCTTATCTTTCTTTGCATCTCCTTCCCTGCTACTTCCCTTTTAAAGAAGTCCCTGAACCAGGTATGTGACTTCTGAATTCCTCTGCGTCAATCTGAAGGGTTATTGTCTGCTGGAAATTCAATTCCACTTGGCAGTTTCACAATTGGGTCATGTGCTGAATTGGGACAAAATGGAAACTTTTCAACCAACCAAAAAAAAAAAAAGAAAAGAGGAAGACTTTGTTGACAGCTTTTGAAAATTATGGTTTTTATTTAGTTAAAACATTTTGTTCCAACTTTTTTTCCCCCTCTCTCCTTTATGGAAGATTTCCAGATTTTGAAATGAAAATTCTATTTTAGATGCTTCTGAAGCATTGCCTTTATGGATAATGTGGGGTATATATAGTGTAATGCAAGAACAAATCTGGAATAAGAAGTTGCCACAAGGCAAAAAGTGGAAAAGTTTTGCTTCAGAGATGTTAATATCTCTGCAGCCTTTATGGCTGTGAAATGTTTCTATTTTTTTTAAACTAAAATCTCAGCTATGTGTGTTCTGAAATACTGAAATTTAATTGGAACTCTGATTTATGTTGGAAAATTTTAACAGTAACTCTAGTATTATACTCAGGAATTCAAAGGTGGAAGTAAATATAAAAATCAAATATTAACGATAAACTGTAACTTGCAGCTTCCTCATACCTTTGACCAGTCATAATTTCCTCATCACTTTGTGATGCAAAATAATGAGGATAAAGCTAACTGCTGCATGAAAAATGTAGTAACATTTTTGTAGACAAACCTCTCAATGTATGAGCTGTAATAACAGGCGCTTACCAGACTTGGAGCATCCTCACAGTGCATATGGGAATGCTATAATGGTCATTACCTGGTAAAACAGAAACTGAACTTGCAGAGTCCTCTAAACTGTGTGTGGAAATTATTCTGTGCCCTTTGGAGTAGCTTTATTAAAGCAGTCACATCCCAGCAGCCTCCCAGCCCAGCTATTTCCCTCTGCTGTCCACAGAGGGAGACCAGCCTCTTAGTTCAGAGCAGATTGGTGCTCTCACCAAGGCTGGGGTGAGGTGAAAGCTGATTGATTTTTACATGACTTAATACTTCAACATTCATCTCTTCACTGCTTCTCATGTCTCTCCTGTTCTCATCGCTTCTTGTTTCACATCCTTCTCTTTTTAATCATATTCAATTTTGTCTCTTAATCTGCACCTAACGTTTTTCTGACACTGATTTGCGCGAGCTAAAGGTCATTGCCTTCATCAGAGCTGCTGTGCCTGCCTCTGTACCTCTCTTCCATGACATTTATTGAACTGCTACTCAGTACTTGAGAGCTGGTTCTCCAGCATTGACAAATGTGTATGAGCTTGAAATTTGTGCAAACCACAAGGTATTAACATAATATCACAAGAAATAAAGCCATAACCACAGCCTTCCCATGCTTTCTTTTCCTTCTGTAACATAAAGCACAATAAAACCAAAAGACAATGTAAATATAACAAGCTTAACAAAAAACTTTTATGCCAGAAGGAGACTGTCCCAGCTTTTCATGTAACTGCATGATTATTAGTTTCTCTGTTATGAATGCTGTCTTTGCTTACCACGTCTTCTATGTCACAGCTTTGGCCTGCACAAGTCACAGTTGTTGCTGTTGTGGAATTCTCACTCTAATTCTTTCATTTTTCCTTCTTGACTCTTTCCACCTAACCAAGCTCATGTTTGTGACATCTAAATTCCTATGTATTAGTCTGAAGCATTTCTGTACATAGGAATTTGAAGATGTTGAAGAATACCAGAATCATGAAGAATCAATCCGTTCTTGAAATTCCCTAAAACTTATTTTCCCTATAGGAAAATATAAATATTGTTTGTAACTGAAGGATCACCATCTAAGAAGCTTAGAACAAGCTTTATTAGTGTCCCTGAAAACTTTCAGGGCTGTGGTTACCCCATAGCCCCTGAGCTATGGGGGTACCTGAGCTGCAGAAACCCAAGCTGCTTACACTTGCAGAGAGTGGATTGCAGCAGGATTCTGGCACACAAACTCAAGCAGTTCTAGTCCTTTGCAGAAAAGACAAGCTCTGTGCAGACACAAACATTGCCAGTTCTGCAGAGCTAAGCCTGGAATCTGCTAGCAAAGATTCTTAGATGGTGGAGCTTCAGATGCAAGCATAGGGGTACATCCAAAGCAGAACCTCCTTCAGTAACTCACACCCTCATGCCAGCTCTGATAGCTAAAAGGGCAGCTGAAACCTAGGCAACACTGAATGCCTGTGAATCTCTCTTCTTGGGTACGTTTTCCTTCAAATTTAAGGATCACCAGTGTTACTACACTTGCCCGTGGTTCATAAATTCGCATGGTTTCAACTGTTGCAAATCATCAACATTCAAATTCCCTTTATCTTTTATTTCTATGGCATCTCCTTCCTATCTACTTCATACCCCACTGTAATTACACTACTTTCCCACTCTTATTAACAGTCTATCCCTATAACTTGGTCTGCAAATTATACTTCTCCAACCCAGTCTTACCAAAGTTTGAGGTGGTCCCTTCCTGCATAACTTATTTCTAATTATTTTATCTTCCTTTCCTGTGTTTTTCCCCTGACACATCCTACTAAATGAAGCCCCCCCTCCAGGTATGTGATTTAACTTCTAAACTCCCTGGTGTCTGTCTGCTGGGATGGTGTGTGTGAGAACTGAATACAAGGTGACAGGGGATAACAACTGATCAGTTAAGGACAGATTATAACTTGCATGCCTTTGGGGTTGCTCTATTTTAGTTTAATATTTTTTCTCAGTAAAGTGTAATCAGCAGTAAGGAGAAGGAAACTTACTCATTGCATGAAAATTTCACTAAAAACTGGGGGAACACACATATGGTATTGTGAAAGGGTAGCTCAGCAAAAAGTCTCCTTGTGGAATGCATTAAATTCTGCCCTGTGATATGAGATAGAATATTTCTTCCTACAGGGGAGGGTTTATTTAGAATCTCAGGGCAGAATTTGACCCATTGACTGTACATGGGGAATATAAACACTGTTAGAATTTGTGGGTTTTTAATGCTTGTTTTGCAAAATATTTATTTGGTGAGGCGTGTGTGTCTGTGTGTGTGTGTGTGTTGTGTGGCTGAAAAGCAAAACCTGCTCTGCAAATTCACATTGCTGATCTATTCCTGCTTTGCCAAAACCCAGAAGAATGACATGTAGACTTGCACAGACTTCTAATGAACATTTTCTTCCTGTGAAGTAATCCATTTGTAATTTTACATTGCAAATGGATTTGAAGAGCAGCAGTACATTTATATAGACATCAATGTTGTCTTCAAGGAAGAAAATGGCCTGAGCCATAGATCTAGAAGGGAACTGAGCTTCTTTGGAAGTTAGCTGAACGTTGATGATGAGTTATAGCAGGTATTTCAGCAGGCTTCTGAACCACGCTGCGTTTATTTCAAATGGCTGAAATACTGCTGTAGTAAAGGTTGGGTCCAATAGTGCTTTGAGAGCGCTGGCTATGTTCATGTGCATATTTCCAATCAAGGTAAACCTCGGTACACTGTGCTGTCAGGTTGTACTTTATGCCATATGATGATAAGTGTTTTTTAAGCACTGCACTATTATCATAAATCTGCCTCTTTTACCTTTCCTATTCTGTGACTTCTCTTTATGTGTTATTTCAAATGTAAATATTTTACCTGTTTACTTCTTAACTTCATTCTTGGCTCCCCTTTTCCTCTCTGCCTCTTCTCCCCATTGGCTCAGAAGCTCTTTTGGTGTGTGAAATAACAGGTTTCTTGTTCTCATTCTCTTGTTGTCTATCGCAACTTGTTCCATGACACTTCACACCTGAAGTTCATGAGCCAGGTATGTGACACGACTTCTGGTTTACTCCACCTAGGTGCAACACCAAAGTGTGCATGTGTGTGAGAGAGGGAGAGGACAGGAGCCCTGGGCTGGTAGAAGAGAAGAAAACAAGAGAAACAAACATTAACCACAGTTATCATTTGCAGCTGTCTCCTCCTTTAACCTCCGTGCTTACTGCTGCTTTAACATTACAGCATTTTCAAGTCCTGACATTCTCTCCAGTTTTATGCCTGCCTTAGTTCACTAATTCCTTTATTTTTTTTTCCCCTGGTCTCTTTTTCAGGATTCCGAGACCTTTAAATAACTGTTCTGTTTTCTTTTTTTTCTATTTCCTGTCTTTCCATCACTGCTTGCACCACAACAACAGCAGAGGAAGCTCATGAGGAAGGTATGTGTCGTGCCTACAGACCCTCATCCTTTTTCTCTTTCAGTGCTGGGGAAACAGTGTCAAAACCACTGACATTGTTCAAGAGAAAAGAGAGTATGGGGGGGAAATGTTCTCTCTAGATGGATTTCAATGAACATGGAGAGAGGGACGCTTGTTAGCCAAGTCAAATCACCAAAAAGGTGTTTTTCCTTTTTGTTCCATCTCCAGAGAGTCCAAGGTTGCCCCAGGATAACAGGGAGGGAGTGGGGACAGTGCTCTTAGAACAGTGCTGGTTGTGGATTGACTGCTATGCTTCTTCTCTTTTTCTTTTGTCCTCCAACCTACAGCCAATGAAGAAGGCGAATACAATGATGGTAGCTCAGTGTTGTCTTAGGACAACAAAGTCATCTTTCTAACATCTCACTCTCTTTTATGTGTCTGGTTTTGTTCCTCACTTTATTTGAAATTCAGGAACTGGGCCAAAACATCTCTGCTGCAAAGAATCGCTCACTGTGCATATCCAATCACCCTTGGGGAGTCATTAGTGTGTTGAGAAGGCTCTACATCCTCATTAGGATAGTAGATGATGAAAATCAAGCTCCAGAAGCTTGCTCTGGACTTGTCTTTTAGCCAGAATCTGTTGTGTCCTTGCTCTCATCAGCAAAACATCTCTATCTCCAAAAAAATCAGGAAAGAATCTCTTAAATCATAGTGACATATTTGAAAATGGAGCTGAGCCCTGCACAGACATGCATCCCTCACACAGCCTTAGGTGGTTATGGTCTCCAGGCCTGAATCTTCAGAAATGTAAACTTCTGCTCAGCCATGCACTTACAATTGTGTTAAACATCTATTAACATTAAACACCTGTTCAGATGAGGGAGCTAAATATAGCCTGGCTGTAATACTTGGGTGCTGGAGCACACAGGTCTCATGTGAAAGGACCAAACCTAAATGTGTGCAGGGTCGGTGTTGCTCTTGTAAAAGATAGCTTAGGCTCTCCCTGGCCAGTTTAAGCATATAGAAAGTTCTCATGGAGTTCTAGAGGCCGTTGAAGTAACTGGGTTCCTCCTGACTGCCCCAGCCCCTAGAACACCCAGGCAGCTGCTTCAAAAGACAAAGCCCAAGGTCACTTGAAAACACCCTGCATTTTCTGTGTTTCCTTGTTTTGTTTGATTTTGCTTTTGTAGATTTTTTTTTTGTTGTTGCTCTTCTGTTTTAATTTTCTTGCTCACTTTTCAGGCTTCTTTTTTTTAATTTAGGGAAGTACCCTGAGGACCTTCCTGAGCCCCTCTCTTTCTTTTTCTCATTCTTTTCTTTTATTTTTAATGGCGTATTGATTTCCTTTTTTTCCCAAGGACACAGTGTGTGTTAAAGAAGTTGCTTCTGGGAAGGGGGATTAAGGGAGGGTGTTCAGGGATTTCTGAGTGAAATAAAGGCAGTTCAGATGGATTCCCAGAGAAGGAGAGCACCGTGTGAATATCTAAAGACTGGGCAGGAGCGAGCAGGGTGGTGCTGTTTTAGGGGTTCATCTTCTCCCTGCACAAAGCCTTTTGGAAACCAGAAACTCAAAGGCTCTCTAATCACCAGGGCAGTGAATTTGGATTTGCAGTGTCTCTTGCCTTCTTTTGGCAGGGTTCTACGTGGGGATTTTGTCTCAGCCCCGTGGCTCACAGTCAGAATGACCGGAATGTTAGTCAAAATCCACCACAGGAACAGGAATTTGCTGTGACAATTCCTGCTTGTCAACAAATTTTGGCCTAGTTCCTTGACTCGGTGTCTTGAAAGAAGGGGCATTTCAAAATAAATCCCATCCCTGGACTGCTTTTGGTTCATACAGTATGGACAAAGGCTGGGTCATGCATTGCAGAGGATAGATTTTTTTTACTGTTTAATTTTTAATAAAATACCCCTTTTTCTGGTTTTCTGGAGGTACCTTTAAGAATTCTAACTACAACTTATTTCAAGAACTAACCTTATTTTTTCATTTTTACAATTGTTTGTTGGAGTGCTGATTTGGTGGGAGCTGAAACCAAATTCACACAGTTATTGACAGACAGGTGTCGATCCTGGCAACCAAGATCAACAAACAAAACCAGTTATTTCCCGTCTACTCCTTTTCCTCACCCTCTCTTTGAAGTGTTACTAACTGGCAGCTTTAAGCCAAACAGGAATGTCTATGAAAATCATCTGGGTATGTCATGAAGGAAGGGAATCCTGTGTAAATAACATACCCGATAGACTGGTTAATTATAATTACATTTCCTCTCTCCAGGTAAAAGACAATTTAGCTAACATGTTAAAAAGCTCACTGGCTATTTGAAAAGCAAAACAAACAAACAAACAAAAGTGGAGGAATACACAAGCACACTGTTGGCTAATGGTATTTTTCTTCAGGAGTGATTTGGGACTTCATTTATAGTGGAGCAGTCTAAAGCACATTTGTAATTACATGCTGTTTATTTTCTTAGCATTGCTCTGGCATCTGGAGGCCTCAACTGAGATATGTTTTGGCAGGCAGTGTTCTTGCAGTAAATGAGAAAAGTCTATCCCCTAAAATGGTATTAATGAAATTTGTATGGGAAAGAGTGAAAAAAAGGAAATGTTGGTTTCTGATTTCTTTTACACATCTCTCACATCTTTTTTCTTGATTATCTCAATAACCCATTTCCAACCACACTCTCAATTTTTTCTCATCCAACACCCTTACATCTGATTGTCTCAATAAAGTTTTTGCAGTATAAGTTTTTTGCTATTTCCCCTCTTATAATATTTAATTTTATTTTTCTTTTTTTTTTCTATTTGCTATTCCAAATTTCCACTGTCAGTCCCCAAACTGATGGGTAAAAATAAGCATTTTTAAAAATTTAATATCTTTCTGAATTACGATGTTGCTAACAGGGCTCATGCACCTGCTACTGAAGTGGTTATTCTCACTTTTACTTTACAATTTATTTTTTTTTACCAGATTCAGTAGGCTGTGAGCTTTTTTACCTTGGTTCTCTCACTGAGCCAACACAGGGAGAGTCTTATACCACAGAATCCATCAGCATCCCTGAAAGTTCAAATGTAGAGTATGGTTATGAAAGTCAACCTGGGTCTCGGAGAGAATGGGCCAGAATAAACACATAGGTTTAATTTATTTCTGTTTGTGAGAGTAACAGCACTGAACTTGCTGGCATTGCACTGGAGTCAACGACAAAAGTTTCAAAAGAATAGCAGGGAGGGGAGGTGACCACAATCACAGATGTTAAGGGATTAACTCATAAGACCAGCACATGTCTGAGAGCCAGGGAAAGGTCACTTGTTGCAAGGCAACGATTCTCACTGCCAGAGGGCCCAGGCTGGCAATCTCTGTGATGGTTTGGCCTGCCTGTCAGGGCATTATGCCTCTCCTGGAGATGGAAAGAGCATTCCCATTAATGCCCATGGGAATTTTGCATGTACCTCAGCAGGAGAGGAGGCTTGCTAAGAGAGGATGGCCTTTCCGAGCTGGGTTTGAGGGGTGCCACACAGTGCAGGAGAATAAGCATCATGCCCGTGGCACCAAGGTATCTCAGGGACATGTGCCCTAAGATGTCTTGGAAGCCAATGAACCTGGAGAAAATGTGTGTCATAAAGGTTTTCCCCTCCTGGCCTCTGTGTGAGGCATTTGAACAAAACGGGTGAAGCCTGGTTATCCCTGAGATATGATATTGTGAATTTGAGTTAACTTTAACAAAAAAAGTGCTGATTGAAAAAGGCATCATTTTCTTCTACCCTCCAGCCCAGCTGGCCTCCTTAGAGCTTTGGTCAGGATGGTTTGAGAAAAATAATTTTGCATTTACATAAAACCACTGCTTTCCAGATGCTACGTTTGGGACTTCTATACAGTCTCTTGATTCTTTTCTGCCAAATTCTGTTTCGAGGGTAAAAATAGATTCACTCCTAGCAAAAGGGGTGTGTGAGTGTGTGTATTTGTTTTGGAAGTGCTTGAGATTTAACCAGTTTCTCTGTATGTTTCCCCTAAGATTAAATTTCCCTTCCCTCCTTTTACTTGAGCAGCTGGCATGATCTCTGTTGTTTTAACTTTCTTCCTCTTTTTCCCTTCCTGTTTTGCTACATCCTTCCAAATACAGAGGAGAAGCCCAGAATAAAGTAAGTATGGTTTCAAAACCCTGGGATCATTTTCCTGATCTAGCAGAAGCCCTTAGGTTCTCTATTAGGCAAATGGCCACCAGAAGCCTTTATCCAGCTCTGGCTCACAGAACATCCATCTGTTTGCTCCTGCATGCCTTTCCAGGATGTCTGCTTCCTTCAGAGGAGGCCTTAGCAGCAGTAACTGGCCTGGGCCTTATGATCTGTTCCTGGTAGAGTCAGAGAACACATGGGCTGTCTGAGATGCAGAGGGCTCACAATACCCCAAAATACAGGCAGCTCCACAGTAAATCCTCTGTGAGAGGCCATGGCTGGGAAACTGCCCTCTCCATCCAAGATTGCTGACAGTGGGAAGGGTGGCAGATGTTGGGCTGGGCTGAGCTGAGATTCCTTCACTAAGGTTTCCTATGGACCTTCTGGCTCTGGGTCCCAGCACCCCAGCACCTTCCCCTCCCACTCTGCCAGCTGCCCAGGATGGAGTGTAGAGCCCTGCACAGGCAGACTCACAGACCAACATCTCCCCATGGGGTAGGGAATGACCATGGGCTTTGGGAATAAAGAGAAGTTCTAGGGATAACTCCCTGCTCTGTACGACCTTCCAGGAAGGACAGTGGTCCTCAGGACTTTTCTGGAGTACTTTTCCACTGATGCGCTCTTTCACCCCTCCCTATCTTCACCAACATTCCTCCTTGTCAGCATGGTTCCTGAGGGCAGGGAAGGCCAGGATAGGCTATTTAAAAAGCTGCATATTCTTTAAGATGAAAATCCTTTATTTTGCTTTTCTTTTTGTTTTGTTTTTGACTCTCTGCAGACTAACTGCTCCTAAAATACCAGAGGGTGAGAAAGTAGATTTTGATGTAAGTATTCCTGAGACTGGCTGTGTATATCCTTTGTACCTGGTAATAGACATGAATGCAAACCCACATAACTCCTGTACTGGATATTACTGAGGGTGAAGGCAAAGGCAAAAGTATGGTTGATTTGCCATTTGATTTCAGCAAATTTTAAATTTCAGTTTCTGCTCTCTGAAACTGTCTGAATGCATTCACTGATAATGTGACTAAGCCAAAGTGTTATGTATTTTTTTTGTTGTTGTTGTTATCTCCTCATAACTTTGAAGCCATTATAAGGAGGAGAAAGTAAGTGTTTTAGGGATCTCAGATCCTCTGTCCCACTGTTGCAAATGGCTTGAAAGTTTCAGGCCCTTATCTGTTACTGAGAAACACTAGCAAAAATTACAATAATAAGTAGAAAGCCAAATACCTTCCTAGAAAGTTGCTAGAAAAATGAAGAAATTCTGATGCTGAAAACCTCCACAGAAATATTTGCTTTGCTCAAAATACAGGAATATTTTCTAGATAAGATTTGTATTAAAAAGCCAAAAGGAGGCAGCTGAGTATATGCAAAGATAGGTGTGTAAGCAAAGCCAAGGATAAAATATGGTGGAGAAAAATGGGAGGTTTGGATCCTTTACACTTCTGGACTCTTGACTGTTGCATGAATGAGTGTCTGATTGCACCTGTAGCCATATAAATTAATCCATAGATTTCCATGGAACTCTACAGACACTTTCTGCTTTTGTTTCTCTGTATATTGCAGAGTGCTGGGAATGTCCAGTACATAATACTAGAGCAATATGGACTTAATGAGTTTTCCTGCTCTTTTAGGACATCCAAAAGAAAAGGCAGAACAAAGACCTGATTGAACTGCAAGCCTTGATTGACAGCCACTTTGAAGCCAGAAGAAAGGAAGAGGAAGAGCTGGTTGCCCTCAAGGAGAGAATTGTGAGTCCTTGTACTGCGTTTCCCTGTACTAGACTGAGACATCATCTGTAGATGAGAAGCTGAAACTGCTTTGACAGAAAGCTGTGCTGTCATGTACAGTGACTGCTCAAGTCATCATCAAATGGCTTCTCCCCCCGTCTGTCCCCTCTCTAAGCCCTTTGTTTTATATCTGAGAATTGTACAAGAGACCCTTCTGCATGTTCTAGAAAGAGAGAAGGTGGCTCACACTCAGTGAAGCAAAGCTCTTGGTAGTGGGGTGTAGCAGTGGAGGTGGGTCAAGCCAAGGTGGTGATGCGCTGCCTCTGCCACTGCTCCCTGCAGGAGAAGCGCAGAGCTGAGAGAGCAGAGCAGCAGAGAATCCGCGCTGAGAAGGAGAAGGAGCGTCAGGCAAGGCTCGCGGTGAGTGTCTCTGCTTCCCTCTCCTCGTCCCTGCATCCAGCTGGAGAGATCTCCAGAGATGACAAGCTACAGGCTCTGCCTGCCTCAGTCCAGAGGTGAAATGACCACTCTCTAAAGCAAGGGCAGAAAACAGGAGTTGCTAATTCTCATCAATGCACTCCTCTGATCACATTCCCTGCACTGACACTGGCTGCTGGGGAAGCTGGGAGTCTGCCCTGGATTAACTTGTTTTGTGTGTTGCACTCCACAGGAGGAAAAGGCACGCAGAGAGGAGGAAGATGCCAAGAGAAAGGCTGAGGATGATCTGAAGAAGAAGAAGGCTCTGTCCTCCATGGGTGCAACATACAGCAGTTATCTGGCTAAGGTAAAAATCATGGATTGATGAATGAAACATGAAAACATTAAACCATTAGGTTGACTGGGAACAGTCTTCATTAGACGTTGAGAAAACAGCCCAATGTTGAAATTGTTTCATTTAGGCTTAATTCCTAAATGCTGACATTAATTGATGTTCTGAAAATAGGCTGATCAGAAGAGAGGAAAGAAGCAAACAGCTAGAGAGACGAAGAAGAAGGTCCTGGCTGAGAGGCGCAAGCCCCTGAACATTGACCACCTTAATGAAGATAAGCTGAGGTAACATGTTTATCTTAATTTATGGAATGATATCGATATTTGGTTTTACTGTCCCGAAGTCTTCTCTGGTGATAAAATGAGGTAGAGGAGGGGGCCTTCCTTGAAATTTATCATGGGACACACTTAAGTTATGCCCTTGCTTAACCCGGAGAAATGGCAATATAGGGAAGTGTTGAAATGGTTTGGCAGCCCTCTAGCTCTGTTAGCCTCTCCTGCTAATTAGGGTTAGTTGCTTACAGGACTAGCTCTGGGATTAGCTGAACAAGCCTACAGACTGATATCTGTAGCATTCCCAGGGGTGAGTTGATGCTGGTAAGGTATGAACAGGATCTCCATGAAGGCTGGAGGTTTGGAAGCTAAGTGCTCTGGTGCAGAGCAATCATCCAATGATAGTTTGGACTGCACATGTTGGAGTGTACACATGATTGAAAGATGTAGGTGGCTCACCTCAGCCCTGACACAGATGAGATTGCACAATGGCAGCTGCTCTGCTTATCTGGGTGACCTTCAGAGTCCTCCTTCCTTCTTGTCTGATTCCACTGCAGTCTTATCTTTCATTAGGAGTTAGGAGGAAATATTTAGAGGAATTATGTTAATGTGTGACGCACACAAGACTGCAAGTCTAATAGATTTGAAGGAGAGAAAAATGTGACCTTGAAAATGAGTAACTTTAAGAAATCAGAGAGGGTTTACAGGAAGATGTGTGAATGGGATTAAATAAAATTCATTATTAATGATGTGAAAACCATGGAAAATATTTTATGTCATGTGTTTCTTCCGTCTTCCCACATAAACACACAGGGACAAAGCTAAGGAGCTGTGGGACTGGCTATATCAGCTGGAGACTGAAAAGTATGACTTTACAGAGCAGATCAAGAGGAAAAAATATGAGGTGAGTTGAGAGGCTATTTTGCTAATGGCACTGGGTTCAAAATGAAAAAATCTCTCTGATTCATCTGGCAAAAGTCATGTTGTGATATCACTTGGGTCTTCAATGACCCTTTGTAATATTTATGCAGCAAAATGCTTGGAACTGCATTCTCCTAACATACATACTTGAACGGAATTTCACATTTTAGATTAAAATTGAATACAACACTTCTAAGGTTTTCAGTGCCCCATGGAAAGGCAATTCCAATGGAAAATGGACACCCTGCCCTCTCCTGAAATGTTGTTCATTCTTGTTTATCTATAGGTAACTGTGGCCTGAAAATTCAGTAACTCTCAGTTCACACACCTCCATTGCAAAGTAATATTTTCAGATCCATCTTTGATTTCAAACTTGAACGTTGTAAGTTTTATTCCATCCCAGACAGATTACCTGTGGCCTGAGCTCTCTGGAGTCACTGAAAACTGTCTCCAGACAGAAGCACCTGGCTGAAGTGTCATATGGTAACAGAAAGTGGACGTGTTTCCTTCACACAGTCACTGGATAGGGCGGCACTCACCCGCATTAGGTTTCAGTGGCTGAGAAATCCTACTGGATCTCTCTCTGTCTCGCTCTCATTTAACTCCCAGTCACACAGACACATGCCGGCGGGCAGTGAGCAACACCAATGTAACTATCTCAATCTCTCTTAGATTTTAACAATGCGTTGCAGGCTGCAGGAGCTTTCCAAGTTGTAAGTACAATGAACTTGCCTGTGTCACAGCAGCAGCAAAGGCTACCAAATGCATGAGCCTGCCGCATGGTCAGAGCCAGGCGCCAGACCGGAGCTCTGGCACTTGGCTCCAAGTGCAGAGAGAAAAGAGAAAAACAGACCTTGTGTCTCTCCATTCACTTCCTTTTTCTCTCCCTTTCCATTCTTTGAAGAGGTGTAAAGTGGTAATTTAGGAAAAGAGTCAAGAGTCCAAGAGGGATTTGGTTAAAGAACTGAGCATGCGCTCTATTGAGAACACCTTAAAATAATTCCCTATCCAAAATCAGGTATTGCATGCATGGGAGTATCACCCTGATGCACCTAGGGTACAAGCAGAAAAAGGGATACACATGTAATAGCTTGGACTACAGTGTACAGAGAATTCTATGGGGTTTGGAAAGCTTCTCCACCTTGTGGCACAAGGTTATCTAGATCCAGAACACTGCAGAGGGCTAGCTTAATGATTACCAGCCAAGTGGGTGTGGAAAAACAGGAAATAAGGGAGTGCCAGGGGAGGGGTACATGCTATGGTAATGAGACATCTGCATAAACAAAGAGGTGGTACCTGCTGATGAAAAGCAAGGGAACAAAGTACAAAGAATGAGCAAAGCATAAGGAAAATGCACAGCTAGATATGGAAGAATAAAGGGAGGATAACAGCAGGAAAAAATGAGGAGAAAGGTAAGTGAAAATAGGAAAGAGAATGAAGGAGACACGAGCAAGGATGCAAGGGAGAGAAAAAGGAAGGAAGTGGGACACAGAGAAGTAGAGCCATTCTTTAGCTCCAGTGTCTGTTGCTCTTTGGTGCTTCGTTGGAGAGTGAGTGTCATAGTCACGATCATAAGGTTATGACTGAAGGTAAGTATTAAGTGCTTGGGTCAAACTAAAGACAACTGGTTCTCCTCAACACTTGGGGAAGATACTTGGTTGGAAAATAGCAATTTAAACTTCTGTGACACATAATAAGACTTCCACAAGTAAGTACAAAAGCAAGTGATATGTTTATCGTTCCTTGCTTGTGTTGTCCTGTTCCTGGTAATATTTCAGTCTCTTATGTTTTTTCTGTTTGCCATTGAAAGACGTGAGCCAGTAATACCAGTTCTTGGGACAAATGGAATGTATGACTTTTGTTTTTCTTTTTTTTTGCACACTGGAAATGTCAAGTGCGACTTTAAATATTCAAAATTTGGGTCATCAATTCTTAGACTGGCAGAGCCAGTGCAGAATTTTGAATTGCACCAAAAGCAAAGCATACCTCATGGCAGGGGCATTTCTTCAGTCCAGGAAAACTGAGTTGAACGCTGACTCAGTTACAAATGAGAAGATGAAGGGACAAAAGTCTCTATCACATCCTAGTGTTTTGTAGGCTTTTCCAGTACAAGTCCCAGGATTTCAGTAATGAGTCCAGGCCTACAGACCAAACTGAGTTATTAAGTCAGGCTATAATGTGTTTATCTCATGCAAGGTAGGTGTTTCCTCTCCTATGCATCAGGTCATCTTCTCTTATTAAATGAGTGGCTGGGAAAGTGGTGAGTGCTGCAAGCTCCTCACCTTCCGCTCTGCCAGACAACAAAAGGTATTCCAGCAGAATGTGATACCCGTCTTCCATTCCTGATGTCCCCATCCAAAGACCACTGAAGATCTTTGGGTTTACGCAAACACTTGATGCATAGGAATAAGGGACGAGTGAGAAGGTGACATTGAAACATGTAGGTAATGGAGCCATCTGGGAGCTTTCCAGTTGGCCAAGGTGACATTCATTCCAGTTCACCTGCTTGCAGTTTGACATGTGAGTTCATAGGAGATTAATTTCAATATGTAGAAACACTTCTAGTGAGGGCTATAAAATTCTAGCTCTTCTGTCCCTTGACATGTGAAGGTGGTTTGCAGATTTATTGCCAAGAAGTAACATTTCTGTCCTTCAACCATGGGTGAGCTTTTCTTTCCAAGAAAGTACTAATTCCTCCTACAGACGCCTGTTTTGACAACTTCAGCAGGTAAAATGCTCCTCTCCTTGAGGGAACAAGGCTTCTTTGTCTCTAAAAACCCTGGTCATGTATGTTGTTTGCAGATTGTCACCCTCAGAAACCGGATCGATCAGGCCCAGAAGCAGTAAGTATTTATATCCCCTTCCTAGCTCCTGGCTGGGGATATCTTCTCAGTGTTCAAATGTGTCACTTCAGCCTCAACACTGACATTTTCTTGTTGCAATGAAATGGGGCTAGAGATGGAAGGGCCATTCCCATCCTGCCTCACATTAAGAAAATGAAGGGGCAACTGAAGTGAATGTAACACCTAACAAGAACAAATCATGTTTCTTCACACCATACCTTCAAAAATTTCCTCTGCTTATTGTTGGGTTTTTCAAACACCTGACTGAGGTGCTTTGAACACTTGAGGGAATACAACCCTTGTTTATGAATGATAAACAAGTGGTTGCTAAGATTATGAGGAATGGTGTGTAACAAGACTAACGTAATGGGAATATTGTTGTGAGTTCTTTTCACTCATCATCTCTCTCCCACTTGCCTTCACCACAAGACTATTTCATTACTTCTTTGAGTCTATTATCTTTATTCTAAGCATTTTTAATGGATTGATGAGATACCAGGGGCAGACACAGCTTGAGGGTTAGAACATGCAGAAAACTAACTCTCACAGAGAAGTAACTGCAGGGCAGAAAGGGAGGAGAGCTCTCCAGTGGTGGGTTTGCTCTTTTCTGTGCATCTGTATCTTTTTACCAAAGTCATGCCAGGGATGAAGCAGTGATCTTTGGTGATATCTTTGGATGACAGGAGTGACCAGTTACTGCCTTGCACTTCCCCAAGACACCCTGGCTTATCAAATGAATGTAACACTGTGGGTGTGGTTGCAATGCCAAATATAAGGCTTGACCTTCTCGTGGTACTTTCTGTACAGAGCTGTAGGCTGATAAACCTCAGCAGAATGTGCAGCTGCAGAAGAATGCCAGGATTTATCTGGGTGTTCCTGCTGTGGGGTGCTACCACACCACCCACAATAGGCCACTGCCTGCTTTTTCCCCCCAAAGTCATGGTACTCTCCCAGGATATCATCTGAAAAGGTTGCACTGGGATGCCCAGAGCTAATGAGATTTCTGGGTGCTTTAATTCTATCCACACTAGACACTATCATTCCAAAGCAGTGCCTGCCAGTGTGTTATGCAAATGAGTCTCTTACTTCAGACTTTATTAAATCTCCTTGAGCACACTCTAAAGGTTAGGTGTAACATCAAACATCACAGGTGTTTGTGGACATTAAAGGACTCTGTCTTTGTTTGAGGAGCTATGAAGTTCCTACACTGGATTTTGAACCTTCAGAAAGGCTGGCAAAAGGGACATGAAACTTAATTTAAGATAAGCAGAAAGTGCATACTGTCTTTTATGTAAACCATCAATTTTTTCAAATATACCAAGCCTATCTTGGTCAAAGGTAAAGTATCCACTCTGTGTGTGTCTCTGTCACTGTGCTACATCCTTCTGTAAATATGGCTGGTGCTCTTGAACCAATCCATGGGGCAGCACAAGAAAAATCTCCCCAGGCGTGATGTCCCCATGTTCTTCTTCTCCCTGGAGGAACCAGTGGTTCTGAAGAAAGGCCCCACCACCTTGTGCTTGGTCCCCAACCCCACACTCTGCATGTGCTCTGGTTCAAGAAGCAGCCTCATCATTGTGTGTGTGAGCTGGAAGGGTTTGGGGATGTGCTGAGCCCCACAAACCAAGGTGCTGCTCATGGGAACTAGTGCAGAATCTAACTCCACTAACTTCCTGCCTAGCCCCTTTCTGAGTTCAGGCTTCTCAGGTAGAAGGTAAGTGGCTTGCATGTAGGATTGCCCTTCTGTGTGCAAGAACCCTTGGAGAGAGTTTGCCTCAGGTGCTTTGAGTGGGGATGTAGCTGGACTGCTCCCACACACCTGAACAAGACAGGGATACTGACATGAGAGCAGGACTAAAAAATTGTTTGGGTTCTTTTGGATGCTCTGTCTCTCACAATACAAATAGCCACCCTGCCTTTGCTAGAGCAAAGCACTTCTTAGTTGTATTTAAATTAGTGTTCAGCTTTTTGCCACCACTACTGAATGGAGCATCTGGGGAATTCCATCAGAGCTCTTTCATATTGAGCAAATTTCTCTAGATAGAGCTCTGAATCCTAAAATCCAGAGCATAGCCGATTTGTATTCAGAAAATATCAAGTCTGTGCCTGCATAGACCTGTTACTTAGTTTGGAGACCACCTAGATTTCTACCCTGGTAATCCAGGAGTCTGGAAGGGTCCATCTCTTTCAGGCATGCACATCCTACCTTTCTCACTAAGAACCTCAGGAGGAATATTTTTCCACAATATCAACAATATTTTTCTCAGGATGTGGTCAATGGCAGGTGTGCCCAGCATGTGAGAAGTGAAAGCAGATGAAACCTAAGAGTCAGAAATGCAGAGTGGCCACAGAGCCCCACTGCTTCCATCATGCTGACATGTTTTTCTTTCCTTTTTGCATTGTAGCAGCAAGAAGGCAGGAGCCAAGGGCAAGGTTGGTGGGCGCTGGAAGTAAAGAACCAGGCAGGATGGCCTTTAATGGTGTGCTGAACCCCTGCTGGTCTCCTCTTTCCTCCTTCACCGATCACTTGTGTTCTCATGCCTTAATGATAACAAAAATCACATCAGCCTGGATTGGCTATTGCTGCTGCTTTTCTCCCTGGAGGGGTCTGGTGGCTTCCTCAGGCAAGGGGAAGCAGGTTCCCTGTGGAACTGGGATGACTCCTTGCTGGCATCTTCAATTCCTGCTGAGCATGTCCCTAATCCTCCTGACACCAACCCTATGCTGTCCTGTAGATTGCTATGTACAAATCTCTGGATTTTGTAAATAAAGCACAACCAGTACCTACTCCAATAACAGACCTCTGGAATGGTGTTTTGTATTTCATTTAACATCTTCATATTTTCCAAGGATTTGGGAGTTGGTCCAAACCCTTACTTAGTATCATTTGATCTGTCTCTACAAGGGGGAATAGGCTCAGTGTCATCAGCAAAGACTCAGGACTGGGGGCCTGTTTTAAGCTGTGGTACAGTCAGATACCAAGAGCTGACTGTTCTCAGGGAGTTCATAATCTGGCTGCCAAATGTAGCTGAAATTGACTTCAAAGTTTGAGTGATGAAGTGAATCAAAGAATAGGGAATAAAGGAACAAATCAAGAGAAGTGGTAGCTTTTAGCACATAGCTTTTATTAAATGCAGTAACAAGTGCAATAAAGAATGATTCATTCAAATATTACATTAAAATATTTATTGAGGCTGTTAGCCTGCATACAATATTAAAGTCCAATACTGAAGTGTGAATTACTTGGTTAATTCAATGTAGATGTCAAAACAGAAGTGGCTGTTACTAAATTTGAGATGCAAGCTGTTCTGTAGGGCCTCTTGTCTTTGCCAACCCTTGAACTGCCCTGGTGGAGGGAAGCCCATCAGAGTGTCTCCCATGTTTCCACATTCCTGTTTCTGGTGGCTGTGTGCCTACTCTGGCTTTCTGTTGGCATGTGCTGAAGTGTCATGGACTCATGAGTGGTTTAGGGAAGATCATATAGTTCCAATTCCTCTGTCATGGGTAGGAACTCACATTAGACCAGGCTCCTCCTAGCCCCATCCAACCTGGACTTGAATACTACCAGGGATGGGGCATTCACAGCTTCTCTGGAGAGCTTGTTCCAGTGCCTGACCACCTTCCCGGTAAAGAATTTTATGCCAACGTGTAATCTAAACCTATTCTCTCTCAGTTTAAAAGTTGCCCCTTGTCCTGTCATGGGGTACCTTGGTAAAAAGTCCCTGTCTTTCTTATAGGCCCCCTTACATACTGAAAGGTCATAATCAGCTCTCCATGCAGCCTTTCCCTTTCCTGGCTGCACAACCCCAGCTGTCTGCCTGTCCTCACAAGGGAGGTGCCCCAGCCCTTCCAGCATCCCTGTGGCCTCCTCTGGACCGGACCCAGCAGCCCTGTGTGTGTTGGGCTGGGGTCTCACCAGCGTGGAGGACAGGAGGAGAACCAGGACAGGACCTCAGCAAAGGCAGACAGCACTGCAGAGTCCCAGAGAGACAAGATTTTCGCATAATCACAGAACTGTTGGGGTTGGAAGGGACCTCTGGAGATTGTTCAGTCCAACCCCCCTGCTAAGGCAGTGTCACCCAGAGCAGGTGGCACAGGAATGTGTCCAGGTGGGCTTCAGTATCTCCAGGCAGTGAGATCCTACATTCTCCCCTGGCCAGCTGCTCCAGGGCTCTGCCACTCTCAGTGTGAAGATATTCTTCCTCGCGTTGAGGTGGCACTTCTCGTGTTTCAGTTTACGGCCATTGCTCCTTGTGCTATCGCTGGGCAGCCCTGAAAAGCCTGGCACCGTCCTCCAGGCACCCGCCTTTGAGATATTTGTACGCGATAATGAGATCCCCGCCGAGTCTTCTCTTCTCCAGACTAAACAGCCCCAGCTCCCGCAGTCTCTCCTCTTAAGAGAGATGCCTCAGACCCCTCCTCACCTTCCGGGCTGCGCAGGGCCGGGCCGGGCACAGCGGCCCCTCCACAGGGCCCCGCGCCCCCGGCCCGGCCGAGGCCCTGCCGCGCTCCTCCGCGCCACCAGGGGGCGCCGCCGCCCCGCCGGAGCCGCTCTGGCTCGGCTGCTTGCGCGGGGCTCGGCCATGGCGGCGGGCGCCAGGAGGGCCGTGTGAGCCGAGCGGGGCGAACGGGACGGGACGGGACGGGCGGCGGTGGGGCGGGATGGGGACCGGGGGGGCTCATTCGGGGCACGGTGTGGGGGGCAAGCCGGTCAGTGAGCGGCGGCGTGTTCCCGCAGGTACCCGCTGTTCCAGAGGGGCGGCCCGCAGCTGCGGATCTTCCGTCCCAACTTCTTCATGCTGGCGGTGCGGCCCGGCGTGCCGCAGCCCGAGGACACCGTGCAGTTCCGCGTCTCCATGGAGTGAGTGCGGGCTCAGCGCTGGGGGCCGAGTGCCGCGGCAGGGAGGGAAGGGGCTCCTGCAGCGGGCAGACCCTGCAGAGGGCACTGATTTAATGAGGAGCTTTGCGTGGCTCCTCTCCCCCAGTGTGAGTGAGGCTCAGCCTTCCCAGGGACGGGCTTGGGAAGAAGGAAGTGCCTAGAATTTGATCCAGGGTAAGCAAGGTGGTATCCAGTTATTTGTCAGGACTCTTGTAAGGTGGTATGCAGTTATTTGTCAGGACTCTTTCAGCCCGACCAGTTTGCTGGCACGCATTAGAGCCCATTAGACTGTGGCAGGTTCTGGTAAGATCAGCAGCTCCTACTCAGAGTAAAGAAAGCCGTCTCAGGTTGGGCAGTGAGCAAGCCTGCTGAACACAGAATATACCTGGCATTTTGAATGTTGAGGCTACAGAGGATAAATATTTGACAGTTGTTACAGTTTATGGATCATAAATTGCTGTAGCAGTGTGTGGTCTAGGTTGAGTTTACACTTTCATGTCGTAAATCTGTCTTGGTTAAAGCAAGAAGATATATTTATTCCTCAGTATCAACCAGTCTCTAGTTCATTTTGTTTCAATATTTACACTTTTTTTACTTTCTTTCCCCAAAATGTTTTTTCATTGCCTAGAATGACAAAATTGGATATCAGGAATTACCTTGAAAGAATATACAATGTGCCAGTAGCTGCTGTGAGGACCAGGATACAGTATGGTAAGTGCAGTTGAGTAATGCAGAGGGATGAATACAGCATCCCTGTGCAGCCAGAATAGACTTTTACCTTTCAAAAGATCTGTTAGATTTCAGCAGACTTTGGTTGCAGTGGTTCCAGGTGCTTAGCTGGTGATGTCTTGTAGCATACTTGCTTATTCATCCCTTCAAATAAACATGCATCACTTCATATTTGAATGCTGTGATTAAATGATGATGTAAGTTTCACTCTAAAAAGAAAAATCTGAATTTAAAAAGGCTGATCATCCTAACAGTTATGTAGCTTGTGCTTTTGTAGTTACTACTGTTTCTCCTTGAAGACCAGTGGGTGTCTCCCTTCAGAAGGAACTGCTTCATGTGTTTTAATGCAAGTAGTAATTAAACTTAAATTCAGCTGTAGCCTTCATTTAAAAAATGAGCTGAGATTAGCTTGCATGCACACACAGGAGGTGCTATGGTCTAACAAAAAGGAAAGTTTGTAGAGCAAAGAAAAATGCTCTCTTGAACCAGTAGATAATGTCAGAAAAACATCTTAAATGTTTTTATCACCTGTTGTTACCAAATTTCTGCTACAGACTGGAATGTTGCCACTTGTGGTATTTCTCTCCTGTCCAACACCTAGAAACAGCAACAACAACAAAAAACACTCAAATGTCCACCAAAAGCCCAACCAAAAAAACAACCCAAGAAAAAAAGAAAAAAACATTCCTAGTTTAACCTATGCTGCATTCTGACTTGGAGGCAGAGGGACTCATCTCCAATTGAAATAAGATCAATTTAGATAATGTCACCTTTACATATGAATGCTTCCTTCCCCAGAGCTTCTCTGACTGCAGTTTGGATGCAGTCAAAAATATTTTTCTTTTTTTTTTTTCATGTTTATTTACATTTTTGATTACCAGGCAGTGTAATTATTGGGTGGAGAGTGACTTATTGCTTAGGACATCTTTGAGGTCTGGGTTTTTCATCTTTCATGACTCTATGAAAGGAATTGTCTGTTTATGATGGTAAGATAAAGGATGATTTTAAAAGGAATAGGAAAAAAAGACCTTTAGTAGTGAAAAATGGAGGATAAAAGAAAAAGCTTCAAAATAAGGTTGTAAAACTCTTAACTTACAAAGGAAGGAAAAACCCTAGAAGTACAATCTGTAATATGCTTGTGTGAAAACCAGAATTGAATTAAGTCATAAATACCAAACACATGTAGTTCCAAACAGCACTGAAAAATAGCTATGCTTGTCCTTATAACCATTTTGTCCCCCTCTGCTAATTTTAGGTGATAGTATATAGTCAGGGATTAAAGAGGGTTAGAACTCCTAATAATCTGAGAGTTTTAATGTCTGCTTAACATGAAGGGGTGAGTTGTCCAGCATGGTTGGAGGAGGTTGAGGTGCTTTAGTTTGTTTGGATGTGGAACATAATATCCTGGTGTATAAACAATAGATCCAGCTCATCAGCTGAATACAAAAAATTGTCAAGTTTAAGGCTACTTAGTGGTAATTTTCTCCTTGTCTTCCTGAAGCTGTGGATGTTGGGAGAGCAGTTTATCACCCCTGGCCCCTCCTTGGGAGACTTTTCTCCTTGCTTCTTTGCAGACTTCGTGTGTGAAGGCACAGTGGCAGCAGGCTGGTGTTGCCCTCATTCCCTGCCTGTAAATGAGGAGAGCAGTGTCCACCAGTTCCAGTACCCTTTAATAATTGTGATACTGTGCTGGTAGTGAAGGAAGAGTTTTCCTCCTAACAATAAATCAGAGATAGCCAAGTCCCTCCTTCAGCTTGGCCTTGCTTTGGAGAGTTCAGAAGTCCTGGGAAGTAAAAGGTGGGATTCTCTTCATTCCTGCAGGTGCAAACAACAAGAGGAATCACAG